CACCCAAAGTACAAGTCCCATCCTTCAACATTCAATATCCTCTTGTTAGACAAATTAATCCAATCCGTCATCCATGTTAATGCACAAGAATCATAATACAGTGTCAAATTTGGAGCTTTAAGTCCTCCACGTTCTCTAACATCTTGAATAATCTTGAATTTAACTCTCGCTTTCTTGCCCTCCCAAATAAAGCGGTTCACTTATACTCTACACACTTATAAGGCCACTATCCTGTGTGATTTCTGGTGTGTATGCGAAGTGACGAAGGATGGGCAAAACATTTCCCACACTGCAGACATTTGTATGGTTTCTCTCCAGTGTGGGTTCGCTGATGTTTCACAAGAGTATCTTTCCGAGAAAAACATTTATCGCACTCCGAGCATTTATAGGGCTTTTCTCCTGTATGGATTCGGCTGTGGTCTCTGAGGGAAGACGCATGAGCAAATGTTCTCCCACAGTCTAAACATTTGTAATTTTTTTCCCCTGTGTGAATTTTCACATGACTTTTAAAGTCGGATGAGGTACGATAGAAGCGTCCACATTCGTTGCATTGATATGGCTTCTCCCCTGTGTGGGTTTTATGATGTTTCCAAAGGTCTCCCTTTTGAGTAAAACATTTTCCACATTCTATGCATCTGTATGGCTTCTCTCCTGTGTGGAGCCTCTGATGCCTTATAAAGTGTTGTTTTTGTGAAAAACATTTCCCACACTCCCCACATTTGTATGGTTTTTCCCCTGTGTGGATTCTCTGATGAATCTGAAGCTCTCCTACGAAACTAAAACTTTTCCCACACTCCACACATTTATAGCGTAACTCTCCTTTGTGCCTCTTCTGATGTCTCCGAAGTTCATAAGAAAACGTAAATCGTTTGTCACATTCTGGGCATTCATAAGGTCTGTCTCCGGTGTGAAGTCTCTGATGTCGCATCAGGTTTGATTTCCGGGAAAAACATTTCCCACATTCCAGGCACTTTTCCTTTTTCTCCCCTCTGTGCATTTTCTCATGAGTCCGAAGACCTGAACTCTGGGTGAAACATTTCCCACACTCAAAGCATTTGTACGATTTTATTCCTGCATGAACCTTCTCATGGATCCAAAGACTTGCGTTCTGAGAAAAGCTCTTTCCACATTCCCAACATTTGTAAGGCTTCTCCCCTGTGTGAATTCTCTCGTGGTTTCTGAGGGTGGATTTCTGACAAAAAAAATTCCCACATTCCAGACACTGATAGGGTTTCTCTCCCGTGTGGATTTTCTGATGTGTAAGAAGGTCTGACTTTCGACGAAAGCATAAGTCACATTTTATACATCTATAGGGTTTTAGTCTGGGGGGGTTTCTGAGACCTTTGGTGTCTGTTCCAGAGGATTTCTCACCCTCCAAACCTTGACTGGATCCACTTCCCACATGGATCTTCTTGTGAGTAAAAAGAACTGATCTGCGAGAAAAGGATTTCCCACACTCTGAGCATTCATGGGTTTTTTTGTGGTCTTCCGGAGTGCTGATTGTGTCTGATGGGGGATCCAAGAGTTTCCCAGACTCCATGCTTTCTGGTGACAGCTGCCTTGTGTTGATTTTCTATTATATGTTGAATTGCAGATAAATCTTTGGTTACAATCTTTTATCTGCTGTGAGAATAAAAAAGAAATCGAGAATAATATTTCCTTTTGAGAATGGTAGAGAATCACAAAATCTCAGCCTTGGAAGGGACCTTGAAGGTCTTCCAGTCCCACCCTTTGCCCAGGGTAGGGTCCCCAGTACACCCGAGACAGTGATGGAGGCCCTACATCTGTAGGAGAGATGTCCTCAACTTATGACCACAGTCGGGACTGGAATTTCAGTTGTTCAGTGAAGCAGCGGTTAGGTGAGGAGTCACATGATCCCTTGGATCTACAACCATAATCCCACACTGCTGGTTGCAATCATTAAGTGATCTTGAGGGTTCTTGAGTGGGGGGAGGAGCAGGCAATGGTGGTGGTGGGGGTCCTGGAGATCAGGCATAGGCCACCCATGAGTTGGGGGGGGTTCCTGAAGTGGGATACAAAACTGCAGCCACCCCTGGAAGCCTGAGCTATATACAACCACAGCCATGAAAAGCAGCCCTGATTGACAACAATGCCGGGACTGCATCTTAAGTGGAGGCCTGGCGCCCTCAGCTATTTCACCCATCTGCCACTGACCCCAGGACTGGACTTCAGTCCACTGTCTCTGCTGCCATTGAGAAATGAGGCCTTAATCTCCAAAGTGGAGGCCTTTGCAGCCTTGCGACATTTTCCAAGCCGCCTGTTCCATACTGTTGCTAAGCAACGTGTCCCAAAGCATCTCTAACCTTCTTCAGGGCCCCCTCAACTTCCACATTTCCTGTGCCAGGACTCACAGGGCCTCCACTGCCCACTTCAGGCAACCCCACATTCCTTAACTGGGACTTTGTCTGCTTGTGAAGTAGCCTAACAACCACAAGTGCAGGATTGCAATCATTGAGTAAAGCGGTCATGTGACATCTCACTTAATGGCTGGTTCTCTCAAAGACTGAGATTTTGGTCTGAATTGTGGTCATAATACAAAGAGTGCCTATAAAGAATCCCCAAAATTAAGGAATCGCATAAGTAAGGGAGGAGGGAAGAGAGTTTGGGTTAGTGTAAGCAACCCATTCCCGATTCCTTTTTTCACGCTTTTTCCAATTTTTGCACCATTGAGCTCCATCCCATCATGACTTCTTGATCCCAGCCTCCTCGTGACACATACATTTTATAAAATGTATATTGGTGGTGGCCTCCCAAACGTCGGTGAACAGAGTCAATCGACCGCCTATGGGAGGATCCACAATGGCGTCACTTGGACCTCCTGAAAGAACGTCCTCCAGTTCCCTGGAATGGTCGCTTATACTGGAATTGTCCTCTGGTTCCTGCGTTCTGGCGGCCCTGTTGTCGATCCTGTCTGGGGGAAAAGGATCGGGAACCTCTGGATCCATCCCAGGGCTGCCCTGCTCGAAAGGGCTGGCGCCAGTCCCAGGAAGTTCCAGCCCGAAAAGACTGCCTGCGAAACTCCTGCTGAGGTCTCCTGTCCACCTTTTTGGAGGGGTGTGCCAATGTTTTTCTTTTGTCCTTACCTTCAACAAGGTGCGGTTCTAATACTACAAGAAGGGGAAAAAATGGACCCAGAAAATTATAGACCAGTCAGACTGACATCAATACCTGGGAAGATCCTAGAAAAGACAATCAAGCAAGGAATCCGTGAAAACTTAGAAACCAACAAAGCTATTACTAGAAACCAACATGGGTTTGTGAAAAACAGATCATGCTAGACAAAACTTAGTGCTCTCTTTGACAAAGTGACTAAAGTGGCTAAAATAGTGGAACAGTGAAGTGGACATATCCCCCCATGTTTCCCCGGAAATAAGACTCGGTCTTATAGTTTTTCTTGCCTCCAAAAGAGGCACCAGGTCTTATTTTCAGAGGATGCTTTACCTTAGAACAGCCGCAGCCATTTACTCACCATTAAAATTGCAGCTAAGAATTCTCTGGGTCAGTTGTTCCCCCTCTGAATCAACGGCAGGGATGACCCCTCACTGCTGACCGGGTTGATTTCTCCGTAACCGATTGGCAGCTGCTTTCCTGCTGTTGGAACAAGAAAGAAGATGAGAACAGGATTTCCTTTCGAGAAACATACAAAATCACAAAATTGTTGGGGTCAAGATGCTGACATTTCATTTGACGAGTCTCTCACGGCATTTTGTGAAGCAAAGATTCAAAAGATAATAGACACCTATCAACCAAACGTCCATTTAGAAACCAGTGTCGACGAAAGGACAACCACCTTCTCTTCTCTTCGTCTCTTATATAAAGGAAAACTCTAACTATTCTCTTAGTGTTTTAGAAACGGAACCTTCCCGAAGGACCCCAGCCGATTTCGAAAAATATTTACACCTTGTTCTGATATCAGATAACAAGACCAGGCTCACAATCTCTATAAAACGTGTCCTTTGTAAAACATCCATCAACAAGGTGCTTCTACATCACAACCTCTTCAGGGAAAAAAAGGAAGATATTGGTTGTAGAGATTCTGCCCAGCTTTTTAGGAAAAAGCAAACTAAACATTAGTAGTAGTAATAATAATAATAATAATAATAATAATAATAATAATAGTAATAGTAATAGTAATAGTAATAATAAAGTTGGAAGGGACCTTGGAAGTTTTCTAGTCCCATCCCCTGCTCAGGCAGGAAACCCTACACCATTTCAGACAAACAGCTGTCCAGTCTCTTCTTACAAACTTCCACTGTTGGAGCATTCACAACTTCTGGAGGCAGGTTGTTCCACTGATTAATTTGTCTAACTGTCAGGAAATTTCTCCTTAGTTCTAGGTTGCTTCTCTCTTTGGTTAGTTTCTATCTGTTGCTTCTTGTCCTGCCTTCAGGCGCTTTGGAGAATAGCTTGACTCCCTCTTCTTTGGGGCAGCCCCTGAGATATTGGAACCCTGCTATCATGTCCACCCTTGTCCTTCTCTTCATTAAACTAGACATAACCAATTCCAGCAACCTTTCCTTATGTTTTAGCTTCTAGTACCTTGATCATCTTTGTTGCTCTTCTCTGTACTCCTTCTAGAGTCTCAACATCTTTCTTACATCATGGTGACCAAAACTGGATGCAGTATTCCAAGTGTGGCCTTATCAAAGACTTGTAAAATGGTATTAACACATCACGTGATCTTGATTCTATCCCTCTGTTAATGCAGCCCAGCACTGTGTTGGCTTTTTTGGCAGCTGCAGCACACTGCTGGCTTATATTTAAGTGATTTTCCTGTTGATCCCGACTTAGGGAACAGTAGCAGTTGTGACTATGTGGAGATGGCCCAGCTATGTCTGGCCACTTGCAGAACCATGAATGCAAGGTCATAAAAGTACAGCAAAGGAAACACCCAATATCCTAACCCACCTGGGAATATATGGTGGCTTAGGGAAACACCTAAACCACCCAAAAGGGAACATATGGTGCCTGGGGGGGGGACACCCAAAAGGGATCATTTCTAGCTACTTCTGCTTTCTTCCTTTCTTATCTACAGTGTGCCAGCCTTAATGGGGAAGTCTTTATCTTATCTGTGTTAGATTTGCTGGGTGAATTGCTTATGTAATCAAAGAAGGTATAAAAATAAGGCTTTTCTGATATTTGGGCCTTTTTCTCTTTTTAGAGAAGCCCATCTTTGTTCAGCTAAATAAAAAAGTAATGCTTGAAAGCAACTTCTGGTTTCCTGTATTTTTTATCAAGCACAACTTCAGAATTTGCACATCAGTCCACTAGGACTCCGAGATCCCTCTCACAGTTACAACTATTGAGCAAGGTACCCCCTATACTGTACCTGTGCCTTTGGTTTTTCTTGCCTAAATGTAGAACCTTATAGTATATAGTATATGAACAAAGATTATTCATTCCTCTTTTTTTGGATTAAGTAGAAAGAAAAAGGATCTGACATGATAGCTTTGTTCCAATATTTAAGGGGCTGCCACAAGGGAGCAGAGGTTCAAACTATTCTCCAAAGGACCTGAAGGCAGGACCAGAAGCCATGGATGGAAATTAGGAGACATTTCCTGAAAGCCAGAACAATTAAGCAGAGGAAAAGGCTGCCACCAGAAGTTCAGGGTGCTGTATCACTGGAGACTGGAGAATGCTTCTCTGTAATGTTAGGGGTTCTCCCGCCTGAGCAGGGAGTTGGGCTAGAAGGCCTCAAAGTTCCTTTCCAGCTCTATTATTTTTTTATTCTGTTATCCTTTTTGGGGTTGGGAGAACATGAGCTCAGTTCAGTCATAAAGAACCTGTGACACTCCAGGCCAGTTTGGAGACCCGCCAGGCCTTCAGAGCCCCCTGGAAGCCTCTGATAAGCCCCCAAGGGGCTTCCTGCCCTTTTTGGAGGCTGCAAGGCCAGGACGTTTCCTGGCCTCCAGTGAATGGGAGCTGTCTGAATTTATAAGCATTGCTAAAAAAAACATTTGACAATTATGAAAGCATTTAACAATTTAAATAATTCAATGTATTATTCCTTATAATATTTCATAATCAATAATGAAAAAGCTAAGTATTTATTTAACAATGAATGGAAATAATTTATTATTCTTTGTTATAATTTTCAAAGTGGGTGGGATGGGGGGGGAGTGTCCAGCAGAGTCAAAGAGGGAATTCTGAATTTTTGACAATCAATCAGTGGCTCAATTCAACCAGCTAAACCTTTTCTTTTCCTAGCACCTCCCGCTGCCCCCCCCCTTGAAATGAGGTCAGGTTGTGACAATATCACATCACAATCTCAATAAATGCTTTAAAGCTACACTTCGCTCCC